AGACAGAAGCCTGAAGATGATGAATGAGACTTCATCGAAACGTTGCCTAGATACTTCGAATCTTACGCGGGAGAAAACCCGAACAACCAAAGATCCATATATATATAGAATATATATATATATATATATTCTGAGAGAGAGAGAGAGAGAGAGAGAGAGAGAGAGAGAGCAGATAGATACATAGAGATAGCTGATATAGATAGGTAGGTAGGTAGGTTGGTAGATAAAGCTGATTGATTAATTAATAGACAGACCGGCAGGCAGGCTGGCAGACAGACAGACAGGCAGGCAGACTGACTGACTGACTGACTCATTTTTCTGGAGACCACAGAGTGTGGTGTGGTGTGGTCCAACCCTCCAAGATGGCAGATGTAGCATACAGAGGGCCAGGCCTTCATTATGATGCCCCATTCATTCCCCCTACAGCTCGTGGAGACTGCTGTTTGTTTTCTTCATAAAAAAAATGTTCCACGTTATTTCACATGTTATTCACAAATGACATTTTGAGAACTGTGGTTTTGAATTGTGACTTCCCTGTTTTCTTGGTTACTTTTTGTTTTCTCTATAAAACAATTCTCTCTCCGATTGATTTCTAGGAACTTGGGTTGGTCATTTCGGGAACCTTGCCAGTGTTTAACTTTACCAAAGATCAAAACAACGTTCAGGTAAGCCCCTCACGCAATCCTGGGGTGACATAAAGCTTCCACATCAAACAGTTTAAGTAGTCTAAAGACTTGAAATGGAAACCAGTTCATCCTCCCTGCAATGAGCTTGCAATACTACAAGCACTGGGGATATCAGGAGATTTGGGCAGTTCAGATGAGTATAAAGACTGATTGCAAGCTTGAGTTTTCTACAAAAATCTGGTCAACTAACAGACAACGGAAAAGAGTGGGAGATAAGAAAGACATTCAAGGTGTGTTGGAGTTAGATCTCTTGCGGGTACGCAGGGCTCATTGACTCCTCCTTCGGATTCAACTTGGTCATCTCCTATAGCAGGGCTGTCAAACTCCCAGCCCACAGGCTGGATGCGTCATGTGCTGGCCATGTGCACGCCCGGTTTAACAAAGGGGGGGGGAGTCTCGATATGGCACGTGATGCTGCCATGAGGACTTGACTTTGATGCCCTTGTACTACAATATCTCTGTGCAGAAATAAGTCCACAAAGATACATGAGATTTAACTTTTAAGAGACCACAGCTTGTATATTTTCAACACAAATGGACTGGGAACAAGTTTTACAACATTTGATTTGGAAATCATCTAAGTAGATTTGTATCTGGAGTTTGTTTGCTGTGGATCATCAGGAAATAACTTCCAGGTTTTGTTTGTTTATCTTGGTGTGGGTGTGAGAGAGAGAATGTGTTGGCAACTCCATTCAGATTGTTCTGATATTCTGAGTATCTTGGATTAATTATAGGCTACTCCTCTGGAGATTGGGAGAAGGCCA